GGGCTAGAGTGCATTATAGCTCACTGCAACCTCAAACTCCTGGGTTCAAGTGATCCTCCTGCCTCAGCCTCCTAAGTAGCTGGGACTACAGAGGTGTGCCACCACGCCTGGCTGATTGTTTTGTATTTTTTATAGAGACGGGGGTCTCGCTCTTGCTCAGGCGGGTCTCCAACTCCTGGGCTCAAGCGATCCTCCCGCCTCGGCCTCCCAGAGTGCTGGGATTACGGGTGTGAGCCACCGTGCCCGGCCTTGTGGCACGTTTTGAAGAGAGAGTCTCAGCTTTGTTGATAGGGTGGAGAGACAGGAGAATGGCCCGTGACCCAGGGGGTGTGGCCTGCCCAGCTGGGGGATGGGCAAGTCATGGCAGGAGCAGTCTTGGGGAGGAGGAATGGAGAAGCCTGTTTTGTGCGTATGGATCTGAGAGGAGCGTGAGCTGCCGAGTGGAGATGTTGAGTGAGCAGCTGGGTCTATGAGTCTGGAGTCCCAACACTGAGAGTCAGAATGGGCAGTCGTCTGGGTGTAGACAGGGTTTATTTGAAGCCGCAGGGGCTGTGAAGAGAGATCCCAGAGGGAATGATGTACCCGCAGAAGAAAAGGCTTTGTGGCTGGCCTGGTACATTCGGGGATGCTGATGAGGAACAGCCAGGGGCATGGGAGGAAAACCAGAGGGTCCCACAGGCCTTCGGAACAGAGGCCATGAGGGAAGGGATCAGGAATCCAGTTTCGCCCTTCCTGATGCTGTGTGTTCTTAAGGAGGTACTGCCCCTCTCTGGGCCTTCCTTTCCTTGTCTGTGCAGGGAGAGTGTGGGGCATGTAAAATACAAATTCTGGAGTCCTATATCTGCTGGCCTGTGACTATTTCCCCTATATATAGTGGAGTCGATGAAACATCAAGATTCAGACAGATGTACTGGGGTACCATCCTGTTCACGCGCCGTGTCTGTGTGTATCTCTGCGTGTGTGCATGTGTGTTTGGATGCATGGAGAGAAGATTAAAATAAGAATTACCAAGAATCACCCTTGGCAGAGTGAGGCTGGCTAGCGTGTACGGAGCTCTCCCCGCATGCCCGGGATGGTGGGGCCCGGCGGTGGCGCGGCGGGGAACATGCGGCCTTAGGGCCACATGTGGCCTTCTGGATCCTTGACTGCAGCCTTTTAACTTAATCCAGATTTTACAGAACAAATCCTTTAATTCAAACGGTGCAGCAGAGAAAGGGGAAGCTTTTCTTGCCCCCTTTGGTGTTTAAAAAAAGAACAATCTTGACATCAGAAGGCCGCAGGTTCCCCGCCCCAGCACCTTCCCTGTGCTGTGCCTTCCGTGGTTCTCCCACCAACCCTAGAAGCTGGGCACTGTTGTTACTGTTCCTTTCCCAGATGGGGGAGGCACAGAGAGGTGAAGGCTGTCACCTGAGGTCACACAGTTATTAAGTGGCTGAGGCTGGGCCACTTGAACCCAGAGCTGCTGCCCCCACATGTTACCTGCCATTTCTGGGAGTTTTATTTCTTCTTTGCCCTTTTTGGTACAGAATGGACGCTCTCGGCGTGACGTATTTTTTTCTGTAAATGAGAAAGGCCCCAGTGAAGTTCTTTTTTTTGTGTTCTGTGTCTCAGGTGCTGCCTCGGGACCTGGAGAAGGATGATGGCCTTCGGGAGAGCGAGCGCCCACCCCGGCACGCGAGCCCTGTGGCCTTGGGCCCCCGAAGAAGCCACAGCTTCTCCAAGGACAAGAGGAGTGGGCCCTTTGTGGTGAGTGACTCCGAATGCCGGAGAGGAGCTCACAGGTGGTGCTGGTCGTCGGGCGCCGCCGGGAACGTGGCCGCGTGGAGAGTTGGGCCGGCCCAGGGGCCTGAGGGGGTCGAGGGCCAGCAGGTGACTGGGTATCTGGCATCACCTAACTAGGCGTGCTGTGGCTCTCGATGTGGGGGTGTTTGGTGGCTGTAGGGGGCAGGCCTGCCCTCCTCTTGGCTTTCCAGCCCCACATGGAGAGGTAGCCCCGGCTGCCTGGCAGGGAGTGGTTAAGAGAACATGCGCCAGCACTGTGTCCTGTCAGCCTCTTCGAGATTTTGCGCAATTTACTTAATTTCTCCATACTTTTGTTTCTTCATCTGGAAAACAGGATATATATATA